GGGTGTGCCAGGGGTGCAGGAAGATAACTGGGGCAGCCTTGCCCAGGGCTCATCCTACACAAGGGCCCTGAAAAGGAAGTTTCCCTCCCTCAGTGTTCTGGAAAGGGGCCAGTGGTTTGCCTGCTGAGCTCCAAACTGTAGGTGACCATGACAGTCTGGCAATAAGAGGAGCGGTGTGTGGCTTTAACATGGAAGCAGTTTGTGGGATGATCAGACACAAGTGATAGTATCACAAACAGCTGTCAGGAGTTATGAATGGGGGGTTGGCACTGTAGTGGCAAGGTAGATGTCCTGGCTTGCAGCATTGGCATCCCACATCAGAGTGCCGGGTGGAGCCCCGGATTCTCTGTTTCCGATCCAGCTCCCTGCTAATGCCCCTGGGAAAGCAACAGAAGATGGCCCAAGGACTTGAATTTCTGCCACCCATGTGGGAGACCTGGGTGGAGCTTGTGGCTCCTGCCTCCAGCCTGGCCCTAACCTGACTATTGCGGGCATTTGGGGAATGAACCAGTGGATGGAAGACCTCACTGTTTTTCCCTCTCTCTGCTGCTCTTTCAAATAAATAAAAGGATGTGCCTTTAAACAGAGTTATGAATGGGAGGATGAGGATCTGAAGATGTCTGGGTGGGAGATAAGGCAGGGGCCTTGGAGCCAGGCCGATGAGCAAGCACACTCCTCTAGGGCCCAGGGTTTCACTGTGAAGCCACAGCAAGTGGCAGTAACCACCAGGCTGCCTGGCAGCCCGGCAGGCATGTGGAGGGGTCCTGGAAGGCCCTCTCCTACCTCTACCCTGCCCTGGATGGCATCCGGTGTCAGTGGGCTGGGCTCGACCCCTCTCGGGGGCGGGGGGTGGAGAATGAACTCCTATCACTCTCTGCTAAGGTCTTGTGCTCAAAGATTGTTCTAGAAGAATGTACAGAAATTAAAATTTATAATAGGCAAGGGTAGGAGCCAGCCTTCTCTCAGAAGGTCAGACTATACAATGATCTGAAGGAAAGCCCAGGCTGAGAAGAGAGGGAGGTGGTGGTGGGAGGGTGGGGGCAGGGACTAGAGACCGGGAGCCGGCATGAAATAGGACTCAGTGAAGGCCTGGGAGTAAATTCCGGGGCCTATCAGCTCTGGCTTGATTTTCTGCCCATTTCAGCTTATTATTTCCTGGCTTCCAAGTAGATGCCAAGTTCCAGCCTAGGAGCTGCTCACTGTGAGTTCTCAAACGGACTGTGGCCCAAAGGGGCGGGCTTTTGGTGCTGGAACCACAGCAGCCCTGCTATCGAGGTCACCTGTGCAATCATCCCCCATTCATGTCATTGTGGCTGGCTCAGCACCTCTCCATGCAGGGTGCCTGGGAGCAACTAGGTGGGGGTTACAGAATTCTGGGACCCGGGACCCATCACGGCTGCCCAGTGCCCCTGGGCCACGGAGGGTGGTTCTTCTGGGTTTGGGGGAATCTTCTGTGGTGTGGGATTATGTAAAGGAGGCCTTGACAGACAAGCAGGTGTGTGTGTTAGGTGGCGGGGGGAGGGGTAGTTACCCCAAAAGCCTGACCCGGACAGCTGTGAGAGGTGAAGCCAGACAGTCAAGCAGGCTTGGGGGAGGGGTGCAGGAGGAGCCCAGCCTGCTGGCCAAGGCAGGGTGAAGGGAGGCAGCCCAGAGTAGGGCAGTCCTGATCATACAAAAGAGAGCCCCAGTGGGCTGTGGTGGGAGTGGGTTGGACCACAAGCATAGCTGGGGATCTGTGGCATGGCTGGCAGGTTCCCAGTGCCCGTGCCTATGCAGTCCAGCAGTGCATCCTGCTACTGTGTGCTTCTCCCGTGCTCCTCTCTGCCTGGCCCGCCCAGCAGCTCCCCCTGCCCTTCCAAGGCTCTCCTCTGCAGCCACCAACAGGTGCACAACAGTCCCTCTCACTAGGATGGAGGAGGGGCCCAGGCCCGCCCCCAAGAAGGATGAACGTTGCTGCTGCTGCATAGCGAAAAACAAAACAACAGCAGGTGTGCATAGGTTCCCTCCTGAGCCTACCGCACCCACAGGCCACGCTTCCCTGATCAGTTCGCACTGGGCGTGTGGCCCACTAATGTGGCTGAGGCACAGTAGCTCAACTTATTGCCACTGACAGATGGGGAGACAGAGGCTCTGAGGCATCTGCGTCTCCCCCAAAGCTGGCAGATGCCGCAGAGGGAATCAAACCCAGGCCTGGCTCCAAAGCCGTCACTAACTGGCCATGGGACCTTGGGCCATGCCCCCTGCTGCAGAGGAGGGGCTGATGGGAATCGCACAAAAGCGTTCATTCAAATGTTCCGCCTAATTCAGACTCTGCAGACATGAGAATAACTAGTCAGTACAGCTATGTTGACAAGGTATAGTCTTTAAGATGTATTCTAGGGACCGCTATTGAGGTGTGGTGAGTTACACCTTCCATATCACTGCGCCAGTTGGAATCCAAGGTGCTCCACTTCCCATCCAGCTCCCTGCTGATGCACCTGGAAAGTAGCAGAGGATGGCCAGAGAACTTAGAGCTCTGCCTCCCAGGAAGGCCTGGATGGAGCCTGGCTTTGGCCTGGCCATTGCAGCCATTTGGGGAAGTAAGCCAGTAGATGGAAGATTTTCTCTCTCTCTCTCTCTCTCTCTCTCTCTTTCAAATCAATCAGTCCTGGGACCAACACTGTGATGTACCAGGTAAAGCTGCTATCTGCAACACTGGCATCCCATCTGGGTGCCAGTTCAAGTCCAAGATGCTCCTCTTTTGATCCAGCTCCCAGTTAAAGCACCTGAGAGAGCAGCGGAATGCCCAAGTGCTTGGATCTCCCCAGAAGAAGCTCCAGGCTCCTGCCTTTGGGTCAGCCTAGCTCTGGCCATTGCAGCCATTTGGGGAGTGAATTAGCAGATGGATGGTCTCTCTAACCCTGTCTTTCAAATAAATAAATAAATCTTTTAAAAAAATCCTTTTACTTATATAAAAAGATGTTTATTTTGGTGCAAGATAATTGAAATCCATGCAATGTTTTTCATGTGCATTTTCCATGAAGTTTCTGAGTATCTGCCACTCAGAGGCAAGCTGGCTTGGCTTCCTCAATCTCCCTGGGCTGCTGAAGGGGCCCCACCTTAGATTCCCTTGGAAAGCTCCAGCTGCTGACTGTGCCAGCTCCATGTGACTCCCACCGCCACCGGTATCTGGGAGAGATTGAGCAACCGCTGAGATGGAATTTCATTTGGCACTGAATGCAACCCCCTCTCGCAGCTTCTGCCAGAGGCAGCAGATTCTATATAAAGCTGCCCAACCTGGCCATCTCCTCGTGGACACTTGACCCCTTGCATCCAAGGGTACAGCCATGGAGGGCCATTCATGACTCACTGGCAGTCACCGTGGTGCTCAGACCTGGGAGCAGGGAGTGCTGGCTGGCCAGGGCGGCCCCAGCCCCCAGAAGCGGGTCCTCTCCATGCTAACGTCTGGTTCAGAGCAGAAGCTGTGTAAACACACTGAGACAGGATGTAGACACATCCTGCCACAGCTAACACAAGGAGGGCCACCCCCACCCCCACCGCTGTTCTCCCGCTCCTGCCGTAAATCACATCGGAAGGGGGATCTGGGATGATGTGCAAGCAAGGGCTGCATCCTCGCCACTGCCGAAGGGAGGTGCCTGCGGTCCTGGGCCAAGGTCTGCTTGGGGCGTGGGCCAGGCTTTCCAGACACCGGAAAGACGAAGCCTGCACTTCCTCAGTGCCTTCTGTCTCTTGACCTGGCCCTGCCACACAGGCACACAGATCCCTGAGCTGGAGTCAGACACACATGTAAACACACATGAACTCAGGGACCCGCAGTCCCCTGGGGAATGAACACAGAGGCGCCTGCTGTGTATTGAACACCCTGCATGTCTGTCTCTGAGCCACATTTCATTCTCACAGCCCGACTAGACTTCCATTTTTGCAGATGTTGAAACGAGCACAGAGACTGTCTTCAGGCCCCTGTTTAGTAACTGTCACAGATGCTTTGAGGACGGACGCCGAGCCCTGAGCCCTTGCCCTGTGCACACTTGGCTGACTCAGGGAAGTGCACGAACTGTTGCACTGTTGCATGCATACGCAGGGGCACTGCACTCACCTGCCGTCCCAAGTCAGCCTTGCTCACCAGTGCTCAAGCTTGGCCAGGGCCGGTCCTCTCTGCCACTACAACTTCAAAACTTCCCAAAGCGTCTGCTGCTCCCACCCTCATTTCATTATCCTATTAATTATTTAAGGTCAACATACTATAGGACTTGCAGCATCTCCTCTCCAACAGACCCTAAAGAATGGCCCCAGCCAGGGTGGGAGATGAAAGGGAGAAACATCCATCTGAAAAAAGTAAAATAATATTTTCTTTTGGACCTTTTAAAGCCCAACAGCAGAGAAGGAGGAGGAGGAGGAGAGGGAGGGTGGGGACAGTCCTGCCATGTTTCTGACCATCTACCAAGAATCTCAAAGCGTACGATTTCCTGCCCGCAAGAAAGCAAGTGCTGGCTCTACAAAGAAAGAAATCAGGTAGCTAGGGAGGTACAAGCCCATCAAGGGCCGAAGCCAGCGGGGGGTCCTGCACCTCTTGGGACACCCTAGGCGCCCTGGAGGGCCATCCCCGCGGGCTTGGAGCAGACCCAGGGCCCTGCCCTACACCCGCCAGCAGAGAAGGCAACTTCTCCGTAGCCTCTGTAGGCTGCGTGGCCGAACGCTGCCGGAGACGAGCTCTGGCCAGAAGTTTCCCGCACCAAGAAAGAGAAAGCGAGCCGCGGTCGCGCCCGCGCGCGCGCGCGCGCGGGATTGAACGGGAGGCGGGTGTCCGGCGGCCTCCCCAGGCTTCGCAGCGCGCAGACCTCGCGCGTCGGGTCCGGACGCCGGGCGGGCTCCATGCTGGCTTGGGGGCTGCACTCAGGCTCCTGGTTCAACCCGCCCAGCGCCAGGCAAAGCGTCAGGGTCTCTTCGGCGCGGCCCGCTGTGGGCCCCCGAAGAGGCCCCTGCCCAGAGCGGGTACTCACCGTTGGGCGGGAGCTGCGAGGTGTCGTTGCCGCTGCTCATCGCCGACGGGTCGCGGGCGCCGGCCCCGGGCGCAGCGGCGGGCGGCGAGGGTCGCGCGCGCGCGCGGGCTCCGGACCCTCGGCGGCCAGGAGGGCGCGGAGCTGGGTCACGGTCCCCGGGCGCGGGCCGAGGGGAGGGGCTCCAGGCCGGAGATAGGCACACTTCATTTGTTTTTTCTGCAGACTTGGCTTGGTGGGGTTTCCACCCTTTTTTTTTTTTTAAACACACACACCCGCCCACTTCTGAACTCCGCGGTGCTCCAACTCTCCGGCGGCTTTTCTCGCTGTTTCGGTTTCCATCTGCGACTGCCAGATACAGAGCCTGTGGTTGAGAAGTACCCCCCAACCGTGTGCTCCTAAAAACTTCCCCGCGGATGGCCCGGCTAGGGGGCCTGCCCGGCACGGCTATGAAATGAGGGACAGACCAGCTCTGGTCCCGCTTGGTAGGGAAATCTTATTATAGGGAAAAAAGAAGTAGGACTGTCAGACAAAGTCAGACACACTGGAGTTTGTGGAGAATTCACTCTGCTTGGTTAAAACCTGGACCTGACTTCTGAGCCTGTAGTTACTCAGATTGGAGAACCCCATCCCCGCCTCGCCTTTCCACAGGAGCAGGAGGCGCTTGAGACCAGGCCACCTGGTTTGAAATCCCAGCCGGGGGCGGGGGACTTTTCATGTCTGATGTCTGACCTTTTTGTGCTTTTCTTTGTTTAAAAAACAATATTTGGGGTCAGCGCTGTGCTACAGTAGGTTAATCCCCTGCCCGCCCCCCGCCCGCACGCCATCATCCCATATGGGCGCTGGTTCTGGTCACTGCTGCTCTGCTTCCAATCCAGTTCTCTGCTGTGGCCTGAGAAAGCAGGAGAAGATGGTCCAAATGCTTGGGCTCCTGCACCCACATGGGAGACCCACAAGATTCCTGGCTTCGGATCAGCACAACTCTAGACGTTGCGGCCAATCTGGGAATGAACCAGTGGATGGAAGACCTTTATCTCCCTCTTTCCCTCTCACTATACGTAACTCTACCTCTCAAATACATAAATAAAATCTTTAAAAATTTTTTAAAAAATAAAAAAACAATATTTACTTGTATATTTGAAATGCAGAAAGACAGGGAGAACTCCTGCCTGCTGATTCACTCCCCGGATGCCTGCAGTGGCTCCTGGTGGAAGCCAGGAGCCAGGAACTCTGTCCAGGTCGCCTCCACTCTGTGTGTGTGTGTGTGTGTGTGTGTATGTATGTATGTGGCAGGAACCCAGTCACTTGGCTCATCCCCTGCTGCCTCTCAGTTTCCTCATTGGAAGAAAGCTAGAGTTAGGAACAGAGCTGAATGTGCAACCCACGCACACCGATGCTGGGTGCCAGGCCAAATGCCAGGCCCCTGGGCTGCTTCTCATTGCTGTTTCCTTGACAGTTGCCCAAAACAGGACTATGGTCGCCCCCACCCCCAAATATTATGTCGCGTCTGTTTTCCTGCATAAAATGGAAAAGCTCTTTAGTTCATCTTAATGATTTGGTTGTTGCATTTTGCAAATAGTGCTCTGATAACTGTATGTGTGTGAATACCAGCGTTTCCTATTTTCCCCTTCGTTTGTACTTCCACAAGTGGAATGACCAGATTCAAGCTTGGGAGTGCGTTTAAGGCTGGAACCCTCAGGAGGCGTGGCTGCAGCAATCTGTGTACTCCCCGGTCAAGAGTGCCGGTGCTCATTTCAGAGCCTCTGGCCAGAATGAAGCAGGATGTTTAAATCATTGTGAATCCTGTCGTGGAGAAGCATGTGCTTGCATTTTCCTGATTACCAGTGATGTTGTCTGCACTGTCACATTTTCATTGGTAAACCTTCACTATTGAATTTTTATTCATGTATTTGTTCTATCGATTACAAAAGCAGAGAGTGCCATTGAGACAGACAGGAAGAGAGAGATCTCCCTTCTACTGGTTTGCTCCCCAAATGCCTACAACAGCGGGGATGGGCCAGGCCTCAGACAGGAGCAAGAACTCCATCTGGATCTCTCACAGTGCTGTCAGAGGCCCAACTACTTGTGTCATCATCACCTTCTGCCTTCCAGGGTGCACATTAGCAGGAAGCTGTATCAGAAATAGTCATGGACTTGAACCTGAGCCCTATGATCCTGGGTGGAGGTACCTGAGGCACTGTGCTAAGTGCACACCCCCAAACCTCATGGTCTTTAGGTGGACTATTTATTCCTGCTGTTTTCTCAACTTGGGGAGTTGGCTGACATTTTTCCTACTGATCTATTTGAACTCCCTATAACAACAACACTTTTTTACGTGTATTCCGTGTCTTGTCTCTTTTTACCCTGTTCTATTAGCACAGAAACATAGTTTTACTGAAATGATTGGCAAGCTGGTTGATGCTTAAGAAGCCCCAAATGTGGTGAAGCCTATTTTAAGAGGAATGGAAAGAAAATAACCAGGGTTCCTGTTATATATTAATGTTAGCCGTCGCAAAACACACCGAACACCAGAGTAAGGGAAAGGGTTTATTGGAGAACACCCTACAGACTGGAGTGAAGGGGCGGCGAAGGAAAAAGAGAAAGATATAAGAGAAACAGAGAGGAGAGGAGCTAGCAAGGAGAGAAGAGAGCAGAGAGGAGCTGAGAGAGAGAGAGCCAAGAGACCAGAGGAGGAGGCTAGAGAGAGGAACCGAAAGAGAAGGACCAAGAGCCAAGAGAGCACGTGTTCAGGAACAGGCCCTTTTAAAACTTCGCCAGGGGGCAGGCAGGGAAGCAGGAGCAGTGAATTCCATTAGGATGGGGGTGGAGCCTGGCTCAGGTAGCTGGGCCATGCAGCCACCTGGCTAAAACTGCGCCAGTTTCCTAACAGTTCCACTGTTCATGCTGTCCCAAGCTCCTCATCATGACAGAGTAGGGAACAGGGGGTACAAGAGGCAATCTGATTGGCACAGAGAGGTCAGTGGCCTCCAGTCCCACAGCCCTCCCCAGGAAAATCTCCCTTTCCCCAGAAGAACATTCTTTCCAAGAACCCTTTGCAGAGGGGTGTAAAAGCTCAGAGGAGACCTTCGCTGGGACTGAGCTGCCAGGTTCTGTTTTTTTCTCCTGGAGGCTGCTAAAGGCTGGCTCTTATAGTGCAAGCTAGAGGGGAGAGTGGGGCTGTGGGACTCATAGCCACAGCTGCAGTCTTGCCCTGAACTTACAGCAGTGCGTCAGCTATGGGTACCTGGTTAGGCATCCAGAATGGCCATACATCCTCATGGTTCTCTAAGAGAAGTGCAACAATACAGAAACCCGGTGGAACCAGGTGGTCTGGGGGGTGTGAAGTGACACAAAGGTGGGTTCTCATCTGTGGGTTCACTGACAAAAGACAAGCTGTGGGGCTGGTGTTGTGGTATAGTGGTTTAAGCGACCTACTGCAGTGCCAGCATCCTGTACTGGGCACTGGTTCTAGTCCCGGCTGCTCCACTTCCAATCTAGTTCCCTGCTAATGTACCTGGGAAAGCAGCAGAAGATGACCCAAGTCCTTGGGCTTCTGCCACCCATATGTGAGATCAATATAGACTTATGGGCTCCTGGCTTTGGTCTGGCCCAGCCCCAACTGTTGTAGCCACTTGGGGAGTGGACCATCAAATGGAGGATCTCTCTCTCTCCCCCCTCCTCCTCCTCTGTAACTGCCTTTCAAATAAATAATTACATCATTAAATAAATATCCAACATTATTGTGCAACAGGTTAAGCCACCACTTGGCACACCAGCATTATGAATTGGAGTGCCCATCTGAGTCCCAGGTATTCTGTTTCTGACCCAGCTTCCTGCTAATGCACCTGGGAAGGCAGCAGAAGCTGGCCCTAGTACTCAGATGGTTGCCATCCACAAGGGAGACCAGGATGGACTTCCAGGCTCCTACCTTCTGCCTGGCCCAGCTCTGGCTGTTATAGCCACTTGCAGAGTGAACCAGGGCATGGAAGATGTCTCTGTCTGTCTTGCCCAGTCTCTGTCATTCTGCCTTTCAAACAGGTAGCTAGATAAATATTAATAAACAAAGAAAACCAATCTGTTTAGAGCAGGGCTGAGAAAATTTGGGAAGCTTCAGACTGGGGGAAAAGGAGGAAAGTGCCCCGAGATGGATCAGGGGGAGTGCAAATCTCTAGCAGAAGAGTTGAGAAAAGGAAAAGAGGGCAAAGAGGTCAGCTTGGTGGCTCAGATGCTCTCCAGGTTGTGTAACTTTCCATAAGAAGTGCATCACAGCAGGCGTGGGATTATACACACGGGGCAATTTCCTGGGCACCCAGCATGTGCCAGGCCTGGTGCTGTGCTCTCCCACACGTGGTCATTATTAACTGTCCTTGTGGGTGGTGCTTGCTTTGAGTTTGCTTTTCCTTTTCCCTCTTCTTCAAAGAAAGAGAACCTGAGGACCATAGAGATGTTGTAGCTGCTCACGCCCCGCAGTGACTGAGCAGGTGCCCTGCAGGCCTATCCATGGAGAGGTCCGTGCCTGGGGTGGGGGATGGGGCCACCAGTTCCTTGTTCGTGGTGGCCCCACCCTGCCTGGCACACCCCAGGGTCCCAGGTGGACTTCTGGTGCCACTACACAGACATCTGTGACTGTGCATGCTGGATGCCCCTGGAGACAGGCGGGAAAGAGGCAGGAATGTGCTGAACAAGCTCCCAGAGCTCCCATCAGAAATGAGGATGTGGTGAGGAAGCGCCTTGCTAACTTTCAGGAAGCCGAATTTGGCGCACAGCCCCCTTCCTTTGGGCCTAAGCCGTTGGTGTGAAACAGAACTGAATGTCTGCATCTCCACCTGCTCCCCGTGAACTCCTGAGCCCACCAAAGAGAGGAGGGAGCTCCTCTTACACCATGTGGGGGGCTTTGCTCTCTCTTTAGCTAAGAGGAGGGAGAAGTTTGGGATACTTAGTCTTGTGACTAAGAAAAGGAGAACAGGAATTGTAATTCTTCACAAACTTTTCTTAAGAGCTTTGCATGTTTTATCTCCTTTAATTTCTAGAACTAGCTCACAAGCAAGGACAGAGTGGGACCTGGCAGGCAGCCAGTGTGGCCTCTCTGCCTCTCATTCCTGGTTGACTGCTTGCCAATTCGCTCAGTGACTTCACTTCCAAACAAGAGAATGATACTCAAGTCTACTGTGCTCTGAAAGGTGGGTGTACATCTCCTGGAAGTTCTGTGCATTTGGTAACCATGATACAGACAGAAGATGCATAATACAGTAGAGAAAATGATAAATTCATGTTGGGGTGGGTGTCGTGGTGCAGCAGGTTAAGTTGCCACTTGAAATGCCTATGTCCTATATTGGTGAGCTGGGTCAAGTCTCAGCAGCTCTGCTTCCAACCCAGCTTCTTGCTAACACATCCTGGAAGGTGGCAGAGGATGGCTCAAGTACTTGGGCCCCTGCCACCCATGTGGGAGACCTGGGTGAAGTTCCAGACTCCTGGTTTCAGCCTGGCTCAGCCCTGGCTGTTGTGGCCATCTGGGGAATGAACCAGCAGATGGAAACTTTCTCTCTCTCAAGTTCTATCATTGTCATTCTTTCAAGTAGAAGAAAATAAATACATAAAAAATTTTAAAAAAATGACTAAAAGTCATGCAA